GTTGGGGGGGAAAAATTCACCATTAATTAACGAAAAGTCAGATCAAAGCCAAATTACATCTGCACCTGTTTTAGAAGGTGCAGAAGCTATTCCAAGCATTTAAAACCATTTTTGCCCCTTGTATGACATATTTAAAATTGCAAAAATTGACTTCGCAAAGCCATTGAAATGTATTGAGTCAGCTACAATACATTCTAATGGAGGAAACATTGTTTCGCTTAGCGATGTTTCCTATGGGTTTTTTCGCTTAACGATGGCAATCTGTTCCAATTGGAACGGATTAACCGGTTTCCAATGCATTCCTATGGAAAATGGTGTTTCGCATAGCGATGATTTCACATAGCAATGTTTTTTTGGAACGAATTAACATCGCTATGCGAGGCACCACTGTATATTCTCCTTGAAATCTAGGACCTCAAGGATGTCTTCAAGGAAGTAGTTTCTCAAGGAAACAGCTGAGGTCACACCTGCCAGGAAACTGGATTGATCTCCACATCTAGAAATCAGACAGGTCACTTTGGTGCCTCTCAGTAATGTCAACAGAGAAAAGCAGAGCATGTTATTTTCCTCCTTCCCGTGTTGCTACAAGCCTGTCCACCAGCACCTCCCTTTAATGATTCTCCTACCTGATCTACTTCTGGTGTAGCCATTCTTCCTCCCCAATATGGCGGCTCAATCTGGCCACAGAAAGGAAAGATGGTCCACTTCCTGTGAGGGTAAGAGATACAGGCAGATAAAAATCTTGGCATACCCCCAACACAAACACACACCACGCAAGAACTGCCACAACCTCGTTTGGACAACGGACCACAATCCCAGAGCCGACATGGAGCACTGGCTAGGTTGGTACTGGAATTCTGGGAAGGGTCGTTTTAAAAAGTAACTTTTCCAAGCTCTGATAAGAACAAGCAAATTGCCTCAGGGTTGCGTGTCATTCTACACGGAGATTCTCTCCGCTTATTTGATCAAAAGCAAAATACATAGGAATTTGTTCCATGTGAGATGTTAGTGTAACGGCACCAGGGCTCACTGGGAGACCGAGAACTTTTGGACCAGCAAGGATGATGATGTGCCGGCTACATTCCGTGCTTCCTCTGAGCTTAGCTGCAATCTTCATAGTATTGCCTGGGAGGCGGAGATGGACCTGTCCGGTGACCATATCCTATCATATCATATCCCTCATAAAGTGCAGTCTGGATAGCTCAGGGAGTTATAACACCTGCCTATGGAAACCAGGGCAGAGAGTTCAATTCCCCACTGTGCCTCCCAAGAAAAGAGCCAGCCTGTATAACCTTGAGCAAGCAGAAAAGTGGCCCCAGAGTGTGGCCAGAAGAAGGACTGATAGACCACTTCTCAACACGGTATAGCTAGAAAATCCTGGAAGGGGTTGCCGTAAGTTGGAATTGACCTGAAAGCACGTCGTCGTTGCCATCATCATCATCATCATCATCATCATCATCATCATCATCATCATCATCATCAATACACTTCTTGTTTCTCAACATTGCTGGTCAAAGTTAAAAAATAGAAGTCCTGAAAGTTTACAGGGGAGATAACATGACTGAAAGATGATTTTTTAAAAAAAAAATTTAAGGAGTAAATTAGCAGCAATTGGAAATTGTTTCAAATTTGTAGTAGAAGATTTTATAATAACTATAACAAAGTATATTAGGGTTGCTTAGTCTTGTATAGATATAGCTAGGATGGGTTTGCTTGATAGCATTAGTTTCTGGCTCCAGAGCCAGGGGCTGGGAGTTCAATTCCCCGCATGTGCCTCTTGGGAGAAGAGCCAACCTGGGTGGTCTTGGGCAAGCTGTGCAGTCCCCAGGGCTCCCCCTAGAGGAAGGGAAGGGTAAACCGAGTACTCTGTACCTAGAAAACCCTGAAAGGGGTCTCCATAAGTCAGAACTGACTAGACAAACCCTGAAAGGGGTCTCCGTAAGTCAGAACTAACTTGCTGGCACATGGTGATGATGATGAAGCTGGGATGAACGACAGAAGGATTATGGAGCTACATTCAGGGGCTGGGGCACTTTTGCAGCTCCCCAGAACCTCCCAGACTTGTCACAGCTTTAAAAAAAACCCTATTTGAAAAAAAAAAGTTTAGAAAATTCCTTGCATCCCCAGGGGGTGAGCAATAGGATCATGTTTTGAGGGGCTCCAGCATTCCTGGGGGTGCCTGTCTCCTGCATTTTTATATACAACATATTTTTTAAAAAAATTCTGAAAATTTGGCCACTAAAGTCAAGAAACCATTTTTCAAAATTAAACCATTTTTTCCCCAGCAAATAAAAGTCCTCCAAAGCAATGATGATCCAAGGAGTGAACGGATGACCGTGCAAGTTAGCCCCTTGGGCCACCTCTCCCCCCTTTAGCTCTTCCCTGTTGGTAGTGTGGCTCTCGGACCGCTAGCAAACATTTAAAAAAATACCCCTCAACCCTGCAGAAATAGCACAGCCCTGCATACATTTATTTTTTATGATGGATTACGACACCCACAGCACTATCAGTTGATCCAAGGAGTGAACGGATGACCGTGCAAGTTAGCCCCTTGGGCCACCTCTCCCCCCTTTAGCTCTTCCCTGTTGGTAGTGTGGCTCTCGGACCGCTAGCAAACATTTAAAAAAATACCCCTCAACCCTGCAGAAATAGCACAGCCCTGCATACATTTATTTTTTATGATGGATTACAACACCCACAGCACTATCAGTATATAATGCTGGGAAAGGTGGAAGGCAGCAGGAAAAGAGGAAGACCAAATACGAGATGGACCGACTCCTTAAAGGAAGCCACAGGCTTGATGTTGCAAGAGCTGAGCAAGAACTATGAGGACTGAGCAATTTGGAGATCTCTCATTGATAGGGTCAACCTAGATTGGAAGCAACTTGATGTCACATAGCAACAACCGTGGAAGGCCAGGCGTTTGCAAGATCGGCAGAGGTGTGCAGATTCATGCCTTTGGACCACAGCTGCTAGAATTCCTCTGGCAATTAGCTTGCAATCCACACAGGTCTAAAAATTAGCCAAGGGATTTTTTTATTGAAGGAGGTGCTGATGTGAGATAAACATGGGAGAAGTGGGTCCACCAACCAGGCATGAATGCAGAGCAATGCAATCACACACATTTAAGTTTCCTTTCAGTTGGGAAAGACAACTAAGACTACTGCCCCCCCCCAATGTGTACTATGTAGGAAGCTTCACTGACTACCTTGCTTTACACAGAGGCAGGTCTTCTGGTTTCTCCAGTTCAGTGACAAATCTCCCCTGACTTGGTGCCCTGCAATTGGGGACTACCACTCCCATGATCCCCAGACCGCATAATCCTGGATTGCACAGGCAAGAGCCCATCCCAACCCTGCCTGGAGATGGAAGGGGTTTTCGTACCTGAGACCTTTTTTTATACGCTCCTTAAAACGCCACCTGGCAGAAACTTTTGAACTGGCTCACACAAATTGCATCATTTAAACCAGACAAAGAAACACTCCTTTTAAAAAAAACTGTATCTGCCAGATTCCCAAAGCCAGGCGCTGGCTGTGGGATTCTGGGTGATGTAGCCCAAAAAAAAGTTTCTCAAGCTATGATAAACATACACAGTAGCCTTAAGGTTTCGCAAACACAAGTAAGGAAAATTAATGCTATATACACTGACAGTGCCTAAATCAGCGCTGGCTGTGGGATTCTGGGTGATGTAGTTTAAAAAAAAGTTTCTCAAGCTCTGATTAAAACACACAAACAGACACAGTAGCCTTAAGGTATCTCCAACACAAGTAAGTAAAATTAATGCTATACACACTGACAGTGCCTAAATCAAACACAGATAAGACATACACACATGCTGCAACACCCTTTTGTTGTTTATGCTGTTGTTACCAGGTGCCATCAAGTTGTTTTCAACTTATGAGAACCCTATGATTAATGGGAATTAATGACTCCCCCCCCCCAAAAAAGAGTCCTGTTCTTGTAAACCTTTGTGGCCAGAGAAGTCTGTAACTCAAAAAGTCTGTAAGTCAAGGGTCCACTGTAGATAAGACACACACACACGCTGCAACACCCTTTGTTGTTTTTGTTGTTACCACGTGCCGTCAAGTTGTTTTCAACTTATGACAACCCTATGATTAATGGGAATTAATGACTCCCCCCCCAAAAAAGTCCTGTTCTTGTAAACTAAAGACCATGGCTTCCTTGAATGAATCATTCCCTCTCACATTTGGCTGTCCTCTCTTCCTACTGGCTGGCACATTTTTACTTTTAAAGATTTAACTTCTTTCATAGCCGCGTTCCGAGTCTGAGTCTTCCCGTTTCTTGGGTCCAGCCTCCTTTTGGATTGAGAATTGAGCCCAAATGCAGAAAACCTTTAACCATTTCAGTTTCCATCACTGTCAGGGGTAAAGTTACACCACTCTTCTGTCACCACCTTGCTCTTTGTCCCTCCTGTCATGTTCAACCCCCCCTCCCCAGCCCTGCTTTTTGACCCGGTTTCTTTCACAACATGCATCAATAGTCCTTTCAAGTCGCTGCGGCTGCTGCTTTCCTGCCAGTAAGATGGTGTCATCTGCATATCTTAAATTATTGATATTTCTTCCGGCAATATCTCTCCCTCCGCCTTCATCTGAATCCAAGGCAGCTTTCCGCATGGCCAGTTCTTGCATACAGATTGATCAGGCGGGGAAGATATTAAAAAATCCACCCTTGTCTGATGCTTCAAATAATCTGGGCTGCAATCAGCGTTGAGACAAAGGAATCACAGAAGATATCTGGGAGGAGGCAGCTGCATCATCTGCAAATCTCGAAAAATCAAGCCAGCTTTCATCTTATTATCCTGAATTTTTAAACTGGGGTCCCCTTCTGCAGAAGAGAGCAAGCCTGTTAAATTCAATCAATTACGCATGTGTAGGATGAGTACAAACATTTCTATTGGGAACCACAAGAAATGCAATCAAGAAGGAAAAGGTGGGGTGGGGGGGTTGAAAGTAGGGGGAAGAAGGCACCCAGAACATGATCGATCGCCCCCCCTCCCTCCAGTAAAAGAAAAAGGGAAAGACAAGGCAGGAATGTCACTGAGACCCGATCAAAACAAGGAGGAGACGCAGTTTGTTTCTCCCCAAACATTTCTATTGGGAACCACAAGAAATGCAATCAAGAAGGAAAAGGTGGGGTGGGGGGGTTGAAAGTAGGGGGAAGAAGGCACCCAGAACATGATCGATCGCCCCCCCTCCCTCCAGTAAAAGAAAAAGGGAAAGACAAGGCAGGAATGTCACTGAGACCCGATCAAAACAAGGAGGAGACGCAGTTTGTTTCTCCCGGAGCAAAATAAAGACACAGCTGCCCTCACCCAGAAGTTGAGCCGAAGGAAGGAAGGACGGAAGGAAGGAAGGAAGGATCCAGCCCGCGTTGCAACTCTTCCCCCCGATGCAAATGGAGCACCGTCAGCGCTCTGCCAATTTCTCTTCCTTGGCCGGACCACTGAGCATGCTCAAAGGAGCGGGAGCATGCTCAGTGGCCACCCCCGAAGCCGCCCCCTTCGCCCTCCCTTGCCCTCAGTCGGGAGCAGACGCTGCCCTCCCTCCATCCCTCACCACCACCACCCCTTGGTCGTCTGCATTCGCTCATTCGGGTGCAAGGCGCAAGGGACGGAGATTTCAGCGCTGCGAAAGGGAAGCAAAGTCTTGTGCTGGTTCCCCTCTGTGATTGATTGATTGTTAGGAAGGAAGGAAGGAAGGAAGGAAGGAAGAAAGAAAGAAAGAAAGAAAGAAAGAAAGAAAGAAAGAAAGAAAGAAAGAAAGAAAGAAAGAAAGAAAGAAGGAAAGAAGGAAAGAAGGAAAGAAAGAAAGAAAGAAAGAAAGAAAGAAAGAAAGAAAGAAAGAAGGAAGGAAGGAAGACAGAAAGAAAGGAAGAAAGAGACAGACAGACAGAAAAAAGAAAGAAAAAGAAAGGAAGGAAGGAAGGAAGAGACAGACAGTCAGAAAAAAGGAAGGAAGGAAGGAAGGAACAGACAGACAGACACAAACAGAAAAAAGGAAGAAAGAAAGACAGACAGGAAGGCAGGCAGGAAGGAAGAGACAGACAGACAGACAGACAGACAGACAGAAAGAAAGAAAGAAAGAAAGAAAGAAAGAAAGAAAGAAAGAAAGGCATGTAGCGCCTCAAAGACTCAACGTTTTATTACAGTGTAAATTTTTGTGGGTTGTAATCAAACCTTTACTGAAAATTTGCGTGGTGTTAACTCTGATTATTAGCCCTGTTCCCTGTTAGGAAAAGTTTGAAAGGCAGCAGGAAAAGAGGAAGGTTCCACACGAGATGGATTGAGTTAAGAAAGGAAGCCACATCTTTGGGTTAGCAAGATACTGAGTGGGGCTGTTAAGGACAGGATCTGCACGACAACAAGAAGCAGTGGCAGTATTGTTACTGTCAGGAGATATGTTTGTAGTATTTTTATTTATTATTTGCCTGCTGAGTAGAAATAGCTAGGCTGGCTTGGAATGTTATTGTTATATATAACTGCACGGCTCTCAGATGAGTAGATCCACAGAGGAATACTTCCAAACGCAGCCAACGGATGCCAAAAAAGGCAAGTATCCAATGCTATACATTGCATGGTCTCTGGCTCCTTTTAGCTCTGGTAAATACACAGTGGAAATACAGTTTAAATAGGTATTTCTGGGTTTTTTATTTAGTATTTTCAGCCAGCAGATGAGTGAATCAATGAATGCTGATCCCGTGGATAGAGGATCCCACTGTATTTATACACATCTACCTGCAGAGCTTGAAAAAACTGACTTTGACAACAAATCTGAATCCCCCAACACTGACGGGGGATTCTGGGCATCAAAACTCAAAAAGGTAATTTTTCCAAGCTCTGCTTGTGTGGCATATGGTAAAAATGCAAGAGCAAGATGCAACAGCTGCAGATTCAACAAGGACAGACCATGGACACAGCTTGGAAGGTTAGATTTAAATTTTAATCTAGTTTTATTGCGGTTTACTGAACTAATTGATCCATTCTGCTTTAATTAACGACTTGACTGTTGTTATGTGACTTCAAGTTAGGACTGAATTGCAATGGCTCTCTAACAGAGTTTTCGGAGTATGTGAGATATTTAAGGAGTTGGTTTTACTAGTTCTGCGCTACCAGGGAGTTTGCATGATTGGCCAAGGATTTGAACACAGGTCTCTTAAGCCTGTCACTCTGTCCACTACATCACAGTCGAACTTCTGACCTTTGGCTCTGCAGATACCTAAACCACTGAGCTATCCAGCCAGCTGCCTTTAAAAAAACCCAATTAGTGGCTCATTGATGGCTGGGAACAGTGGTTGTTATAATTCAGTGTTGCTGGAAAACTCCCAGATCAGGGGAAGTCTACCCAACAGCATAGGAGGTGGCAGCCTGTTCGGTTTGGTTCTGACCATGACCTTCATCTGTCTCAGATGCAGGAAAAAAAGGGACAGAGGAATTGCGAGGAATACCTGGTTCTGCCCATGCTGTGATTTCATTAGTTCGTTAGGAGGAATAAAGTGTACAAGGTGCAGCTGATCCTTCACAGTAAGGATAAATCTGAAAAGAACATTGTCGAAGACTTTTGGAAACTGGTTTGAATCCATAATTTAGGAACTGTTCCATTCAAAATGGCTATGGTGATTGAGTGATGATTTAGTTTCATTTATAAGCCACCGTTCTCCCCATGTCCAAATTGCTTGTAAGGGAGACAGAAGAAACAGGACGATTCATGAAACAGAGTACAGTGGTGCCTCACTTAACGAGCACTTCGTTTAACGATGAATTCGCTTAGCGATGACTTTTTCGGAGCATTTTTGCGCTCCGTTTAACAATGTTTCCTATGGGCGATTTTCGCTTAGCGATTTTGGGACCATGCTTCACATAACGATTAGGTTTTTGGGTCCCCTGTTTTACTTAACGATGGTTTAAACAGCTTCATGTTTGCTGTTTTTTAAATGTTATAAAGTTAAAGTTTACTGTGTAAAATGTTTGAAATCATAAAGTGCACTTAATAAACCCTTTGTTAACCAAATTTGACTTTGTTCTGACTTTTTTAATTTGTTGTTGAATTCCCCCCCCCCATTGAGATGCATTTAATGGGTTTCAATGCATTTCAGTTGGGGAACCGCGTTTCACTTAGCGATGTTTCCTATGGTGATTTTCGCTTAAGAACAGCAATCCGTTCCTATTGGAACGGATTATCCAGTTTTCAATGCATTTCAATGGGAAACCGTGTTTCGCTTAGCGATGTTTTCCTACAGCGATGATTTTTTTGGAACCAATTAAGATCGTTAAGCGAGGCATCACTGTATTTTGAGTGCCTCCATGGATGTTGTATAATGGTACCCATTCCCTCTCCACGTACTCTGAATCAAGAAGTTTGGTCTAAGGGTAACAGTGCTAGAGAACCTGTTTTGCATCCATGGGATGCCGAGTTCAATTCCTGACACTTCCTAGAAACCTCACCATTTTCTTCTTGTCCCCACTCACTGCAATTAATAACAAAACCAAGGTACTTATTCATTATACCACTGGAAAAATGAGTGCTGTTAGCCAGCCATGATCCTTCCTAAGCCTTACTGAGAGACAAGGATAATGGCTTAAGGAGCATTATTACTTCCAAGCTCCCGATAGTGCTGTTTGCTAAAAGATAAACTTATCGCATCTTGTCAAGGGAAGAGGACATCATTAGCACATACAGTGGGGTCTTGACTTAAGAACGGCTTGAGTTAAGGACATTTTGACTTAAGAACCGCTCTCATAGGAAAATATTGACTTAAGTACTTAGATTTAAGAACTGAAAAAAACCCACGTGGGAGGCAGGGAAAGTGCAAAAAGTGAACTTTCAGTTCACTGTTGGCCAGTGAAAAGGGTGCCTGTCTGCTTCCTCATTCCTCCCAGCATTTTAGAGAGTGGATTGGGAGACAGTCTTCGGACTGCCTGGTACTGGACTGCCTGGACTGTCTTTTCCCTGCCTTCCCTGAACCTTTCTTGACCTAAGAAAAAAAAGAAACAAAATATCCACCTCTAGTAGTCGAAGGCGGAATAGCAGCTTCCCATTAGTTTCTATGGATGGAAAAGAGCAGATACGGATCAAATGGTTTTCAATGCATTCCTATGGGAAATGCAGATTTGAC